AGACAAACTCTCAAGAGACATTTTTCCACCTTAATTCATTTTATTGATAAAACATCTCCAGAAAGAAAATATATACAAAACTTCAGCCATCAAAGAGCAGTTGATGGCTGCCTCGAAGTCTGACATCAAATCAGCCGTTAAAGTCCTTACACAGTTTTCACAGCACTCGAACATGTTGGGAGTTTGTCTCGTTCATCTAGCACATAGAGAGATTGTGAGCTTCTTATTTGAAAAACAGATAACGTTTCCAATTTATGTGTTTTTCTGTAGGGTGTAAACTCAGTTTTCAACTAAATGAGTTCAATAATCTATCAGAAATTTTTCTAAAAGACAGGAATTCCTTCATTTAAAATAATAAAAAAAAAAGATGAGAAGGATCGATGCTGTGTATGTACAAAGCACTCACAGGAAGTACATGACAGAAGACAGTAAAGGCATGGTTTTCATTTTTGTTTGCAGATGTCAATCTCAACGTTGCTGAATGTGCATCTGCTGGTCATTCCATCACCAAATAACTACAGTTTGTTCCTCAGTGGCATAATTCAGTGGTGGTGGATGACACTCAAGCCTGCAGTACTACAGCTTCTGAGCGCTGGTCAGCTGCAGCACCTGAGATGGTGTAAACTACAAAGCAGCTTCACTGAATGACTGACCTGCTGTTTGTTGCTAACATGGTAAATGTTACAGCCAAGTCTGTGAATATTTTAGGTGTTTAAAGAGGAACGTGTTTGTATTCTCAGTCTTAGTGAGAACTGACACAGGAAATGAAAACTGGTCTCTAGAAGGTGTCAGTGTGTCGTTAAGATTTTGGGGATAAAAAACAAAAAACGTTTTTTAAAAATGAAAAATTTCAGGGGGGGGGGACATTATCAAGAGAATGAGGGGATGGGGGAGTCAACAGAGTCCAGAGCCTCCCAGTGACTATTCATCATGGCATCGTAGAGCTCCTCGCTGCGCTGCATGAAATCTTTGTTCCACAGGTCGACGTCACACTCGGGAATGGGCTCTAGAAAAAAGAAACAATGCAAATCCTCACTCTGTGAGCGTCTCCGACATTTCTCTGGATAGATTTTTTCCCCTAATGTTATGTGACTCAGCCTTACCTTCTGCATTATCCTCATCTATGTCTTCAGCCTCCACATGGCTCTGCTGCAGAATGACATCAGGGATTAGAACTACTTTCTCAAACATGGAAATAAATCTGAAAACTGCCTGGATGTGATAATACATGGCACTAATTAACACAATATAAACATGGACAATGTGTCAGCTGTGCTACGTGTACTGGGTGTTTACAGTAAACATGTTTCAGTGAACATTTTCACTTGGCAGTGAAAGATCAACAGTTTCACGTCTGTACACTTTGTAGTCAGTTAACTCAGCAGTGTCACTTTCTGTCTACACTGAAGCTGCTTTGTTCAATTGGCCCATTCTGGGTGAAGAGAGCTGGTGTTTGGATGAATTACTTGTGAGCATTCTATATAACATGATAAATGATGTAAATCTTAAACTTTTGGAAGGAAGCTGATTGTTCTTTAGCAAAGGTTAGCAGCTAAAAGTCATTCTGCTAAGCTTTGCTAACTTCCTGAAATGTCAGTGTTCCTTTAAGCACTGGTGTGAAAGCGTTCCCTTTACCTCTACGGCTCCTGACATGTCTGTGGACATTGGTGGCATCCCCATGGGAGGTGGTGGCATCATGTGACCTGGTGGTGGGTATCCATAAGCTCCGTAACCGTAGTTGTAGCCACTGTTGTAGCCGCTGCCATAGCCGCTGTTGTAGCCGGTACTGTTGTAGCCACCATACTGGTCGTAGCCCCCCCACTGAGAATAGTAACCCTGGTTTCCACCGCTATGGCTGCCATAGTAACCAGACTGAGTCTGGTTGTAGTTGCTCTGGTAATTCTGGCCCTGGCCCCCGTGGTAGCTGCTCATCTTCTGGCTGTAAAACAACAAAAATAACAATTTTTGGTTTGTTTGAAGGTTATCTGATGAAAGATCTTCATGAATAAACATGTCTCAGAGGAGCCTGGATGGATTTAAAGGTGTAGACATGCTGAAACAGTAAACTGGACTTTACTTTTGTTACAGACAAATCAAATATAAATCAGTCATACGGTAATGGTAAAAAGTATATCTATATAATAAACCTAACCGGGTCCTTAGCAGGTGTTAAAGTTTAGGTAAACACTACATCAAACCAGTAACACATGGCATACTGCATCATGTCAATTAGCAAAAACAGAGCCAAAGGTCTGGACTTTGACTGGTCTCCTCCTGGGAAGATGTCTTGAATATTTTAAACTTGTGAATAATCTGAGAATGACTGACTTCAGAATGTTTTGAAGTGGCCTTCTAACCTTTCCCAGACTGATGCACAACAATAACTGCTTCCCTAAGACCTTCTTAGCTTTGTGCTAAAACACACATGAACTCTCCAGACCAGCAAACTGCCAAAACATCTGCTTTTACAGAGGTGGTCACACTTAACTACATCTATTTGATTATTATCATAGTTCTTTGTAAATTATGAGAGTATTATTGTTGGTCATCTCAGGTTGCATTTACTCATTTTAAGACTTGGTATTATGTTATTATGTCCTAAATCTTGAAATTGAAAGAGGGTCTACTTTCATTTTACATGACTGCATTTTTCCAGTCAGGCTGACTTTGAGGCAGATTGAATTTTAAAGTGTGGATTTTAGTTCAGTCTTTTGGTTACTAAAAGACTATCAAATAAGACCTGATAATAAGAAAAAACCCAGGTTTCTATTCCCCAGCACTGACCTTGTGCTACAATCATCCTAGACCTCTTTTCCCTCTCGATTGGTTATAAAGCACTCTGCATTTAACAATTGGTCATTATTAAACTCTGACTCTCTTACTCAGAGTGTCTTTTATCCCACCTCCCACTGCTTTTCTCTGTCCCCTCAGTCTAACCGACTGTAGTAGATGGCCCTCCTGAGCTTGGTTCTGCCAGCGTTCTCCTTCCTTTCTTCCTGTTAAAAAGGTTTTTTTTTCCTTTCCATCATCAACTGCTTGCTCATAGGCCATCACATGAATGTTGGGGTGTTCCTCTCCATTATTGTAGACTCTTTGCCTACCAATATACAATCACTTGTGGTGATTTTTGTTGTGGTTTAGCGCCAAGTAAATAAAACTGAGTTCAGGTGAATCCAAACTCCTCTGTCCCATTTTCTTTGGCACTTTCTCTATTCTAGTCTCTCTTATCCGTGTCTGGGTCTTACCTCTTTGCAACAGCAATACTGAGCCTGAGTGGCTTTCCTCCCAGCATCGTACCCTGGCACTCCTCGATCGCCTTCTTCTGCTCGCTCTCCTCTCCAAACTTGACAAAGCCATAGCCTCTGCAAGTCAGAGAACAGTTACGCCTCCTTTGCACCGCCAACGCACACTCCATACTTGGCATTTAATAGCCACTTATAATGAGAAACAGAATATAATGGGTATTATTATGGTAGAACTGAAACTTGTTGTTTTACTTTTAACATGAGGTAGCATCACTTGAATTGTGAGTTGCTCTTGCTTAGCCTATATGGGGAAAACAATAGTTTTAGCATTAAGACGGCAAGAAAACATTTCTTCAGCCTTTTTTTTTTTCCGAAAATAGATGAAGATGCACTGATGGTCAACGTCCATAGCACTGCTATCCAAATCATTATTATAGCACAGAAAACAGAAAAGAAATATTACAGTATACTCTTACAACATTCATACAAGAAGGCAATACATCATACTATAGGAAGAAATACAAAATTCACAGTCAAACAGAATAATACTGCTGCTGCTGTCACGTGCACCTCAATGCGCTGACGTACCTTGAGTATCCGTACTGGTCGGTGACTACTTTGGCTCCTTTGCATGAAGGGTACTTCTTAAAAACTTGATGCAGCTGGAAGTCATCTATCTCAGAAGCCAAGTCGCCCACGAAAACTGAGAACTCTGGCCTGAGAGAAGATCAAATATTCTTACTCAGTGTGATAGACTGATGTACTGATATGTTGACTGCTTTAGCCCACATCCAACTTAACCCTCTGGGGTTGCCGGATGCGCCGGCACGTCAAAATCACATGACCAATTTAAGACGACACAGCTACAAGATGCAGCACGTCAGAGTCTCCATTTCAACTTGGGTCGAAAGTGCGAACTTCAAACTATATACAAGTTTTTGACCTCTCTGTATTGAATCATATCTGTTATTAATCTCTGTCTCTCTTCCACAGCATGTCTT